GTAACCCTATCTAGGGACGTATAATACTGTCAGAGTGGTCTGAAGCTCACGCTTGATTGCACACAGTAGTAATGACTGCGCGTTAGCGATACGGCTAACGAGGCAATGGGTGGGGTAGGTGTCGACCGTCTACTCTACAAATAACAGATCACACTATCGGTATACAGGGTGGCTCAGGCTAGTAACTAATTAGGGCGAGGCAGGGGGGCAGGTGCGTGGGAGGGTGTGTGGTTAAAAAGTGATGTCCAGTCGGCTAGGCTTACGAGACACTATCATTCATTATTACGATATGTACATGTAATATTACGTATAATTATATACAAGGGAGACATTAGGAAGACGAAAGTTGTTAAGAAAGAGAAAAGATAAGATCCGAAATTTAGTCGCCTCTATCGATCATGCAATGGGGGCTTCAGGTACAGTTCTTACGCCCAATCTGCAAGGGGTTCGACAGAGTTTGGGATTGAAATGATTGTAGTACAGTTTATTACTTAATGATAATAATTAGCTATTATTGTTTAAATATCCAGATGAGCGATGCAGGCCCTTTGGGCCTCTTGTATTTGATAGCCATCCATAAATGACCTTAGTTTTACCTGCAGGGTGTTCGACAGAGTTTGGGATTGAAATGTTTGTAGTACAGTATATTACTTAGTGAGAAAAATTAGCTATTACTGCTTAAATATCCAGGTGAGCGATACAGGCCCTCTGGGCCTCATGTATTTGATAGCCATTCATAAATGACCTTAGTTTTTACGAATTTAATTAATAGTGTAGTATTTCCTTTTGCAAATGAATGATAATCATTGAAACTAAAACACAGACACGTCAGCAAGGGTCCAGCCATTTGTCTGACCGTACATCAAACTGGATAAATATTAAAACCCCTATCGCACATCTACATATCACAGAGATCAGTCTTACTGAATCCGAGAAATAGATTGTGATTGTGCGGAAAGTCTTAAAATCGTAAATTATTGGCATTGAAAGTTTATCCCCCTTCAGAATTAGGGATTCACTTTAGTGATCTCTACTCGAGGACACAAGCGACCAAAATAAATCTACTGCACCACTTGCAACAGTTATATTTTTCCTCTACTGGCTACCTTCTATTTCCTAGGATATTGCTGATCAGCGTTAAAGCCAAAAGTGATGTATTGCCAGGCAAGGCGCTAGGAAATACAAGGTAGTTATAATAAGAAACAAATATAAAGATCGCAAATATTGCAAAGGTTGCAGTAGATTTATTTTGGTCGCTTGTGCGGCCTCAAATAGAGGACACAAAAGCAAGTCCCCAATTCTGCAGGAGGTTCGCGCATTACTCGCCTCTTTCGAAACTTTTAGTGGGCAATTATCGAACCCTAGCAAGTTCTCTTAAAGATAAAGCCAAACGCCAAATTGAGTGAATAATTAAGTGAGAGTAATAAAATCGCAAATTTTTGGCATTCAAAGTCCCATAACCCTTTAAAACATTGTCTTGTTCTCTCAAATATAAACCCACACATCAAACAAAGTTAAAATCCAACCACAAACACGCAAGTTATTGTTCGGACAGTAATAAAATCGCATTTTTCGCATTCAAAGTCCCGATATACATGTAACTCCTGCAAATTTTGACAGATTTCATTAAACCCATACGAGGTCTTATTGATATTAGGTCACACACAATTTTTGGTGAACATCCGAAATCAAATACGCAAGTTAGTGTCCGAAATGCAAAAACGGACAAGCTGATTGCTATAGGGCACCGGTATCTAGATGCGGGACACGTATAATGCCAACTCTTCATTAATGAATATGTAGCATGTGGTGAAGTAATCCAATTACGATGTCACATTTAGTAATTAAATGACGTCATGAGTACACGGCGAATATGGCGATATTTTTGTTCTAGACTTTTGCCTGCCGTTATTAGAATACGGTGGTTTTCTTTACATATTTAGGTTAATCAAACGATTATCAAGGTTAATATGTGTAGTTAAAGTAATTATCAAGGTTAATATGTATAGTTAAAGTAATTATCACGTCAAATGGTGAATACAATATGGGGTTATATTCACTTTTTAAGCCGCTCTTGGCGAGAGCCGAGCGGCTTATTAATTCTGTCCAGAGAACGAAATGACGGACCCACTTCCGTTCGGGTTGCGTACGCATACTTCAGTCTTGCATGCTTCCGCTATATAGTTTCGTTATCGCAAATAGAAAGTGAATCTCTGACACTCACCTGTGGGTTACATAGAGTCTTCTGATACTCCTCTCCAAATAATAATCCTTACTTTAAATAATTGCTGAAAGAAAAGTTTATCTCCGGTGCATTCTACGAGTGTTATGGTAGTGAAATTCGTGCACTAAGTTTGAGCGTTTTAGCAACTCGGTTTGCGGTCTGAGGAGTGTTACGCGTGTGAAACACATTGATTCGAGAAAGCACATGTGAAGACTGTCAAGCATTGACGCTGTCTGTAGAAGGAAGAAGTAACTATATATACTTATAACCGTATGAGTATTTGAAACGGGAACGTAATATGACATATCGTGCTTAGGTTGATAACGGTAATGGCTCGGAGACGAGACGATATGTGAACTGTGTATGCTTATCAAACATTTCTGTAACACAGCATGCTATTTCTGGTATATTTATTTATGACAGTGTAACAATTTAAGAACAGCCGCTGCTGTTTGACAAGAATTGCCGCCGTGTCAAAATAATATCCAATTCGGTGGAAGGGAAATAACTCTTACGTTGTTAAAGATACATTGAGAAATATAATTTGTAAGATTTTGTATATTCAATGACGGTAAATATAGTCGCTACATATATCAATATTTATAATTAATATGAATAAAAAATAAATAAAAATAAAAGGAGTACAATGTCTCTTTTCTCCATGCATGTTTTCCCACTACTGTTAATTATCCTTCATTTCACAAGCACAAATTGCACCTATTCTTTATTATCCATTCACCGTTTGGCATTCTGCACGTAAATGCTCATGTCACATCATTGGAGGATGCTAATTAATGAAAATTACAACAATGCATCACACTTAAAGAGGGTGAAAAAAGAGGAGAGGGAGAAATGTTTTTAAGGCATCATTTAAGAGGCGATTGATTTTGAAAATTCCAAAGGCAACATCATCAAATGACCTGATTTTCAATTAGCAGAATACAGAACACATATATGAGGTATTATAGTAGATATTGATGCTCAATGTGTTACTGAAGCAATTAAATTTAAAGTGGTGAGTGGCTGTAATGTCATACTGACATAATTATAGTTCCTATTTGCAAAGATGCTGATTTCTTTGACGATTCTACTACAGGTATTTACGGGGAACAGTGACAGGGATACCATTGTGAAGGCCGATATCGTACCCAGTGTAACTGGAATGTATATCCGTATCAAACCTCAAACATGGAACGAACGCATCAGCCTCCGTTTTGACGTCAGTGGATGTTATCTGTTTGCAGAAGGTACTTGCAAGTGACATGTATGCATACATACCTAATGATTATTGTTACATTATTTTTATGCAAGGACATTTTGTGGTGTTTGAAATTTCACACTGGCAATGTTGCGAACCGTAAACATTTATTTGTTTATTTAATACAATCGATGTGTATCTACACTGTCACCTGTCACTTCAACTGTTTTTATCTAGGCAATTTTGTATTGTATGATACTTAATAGGGTTTTTTAAACAAAGCACAAGTAGATAGAGTAAAAACAAAATATATGCCATTTTCCTCCAAAAACCCTGCTGTTTCGAAGTTGTTTAAAATGTTTTGGAATATGTATTTCCATCGCACTTGTCATGCTTCTTAAATAAAAACGTTTGTTCTGTAAAAAGAACTGTTAGATTTATATTTTATTCTATTTTATTCCCTTGCAGCAAGTGCAAATGAAACATTTTCAAGGATTCCTGTCATCACATCATCAGACTACACGGAAGGACTAGTCTTGGACGTTTCAACAACATCCATATCAAAATGCGCCGCCATGTGCAAAGAAACGCCAACCTGCTTGTCTTTTACTTACGAAAAAGGCCAGGATTCGTGTCGTGGCTTTGCCGTAGCTGCTCCTGGCTTTTATGGCCAATTTTCGTCCCTTGGCATCGCTTCCCCATGCTACCTTAAAAAAGGTATGGGACAGAATAAAGGGAGGCAATCGGCATTTACGTATCCATTCTGTAGTTGAATAATTAATTGAAATGTACGATATCAAATAGTTTAATCTTACAGCTAGAGTTAAACTGATTTCACGTTATGCCTATAAACGTGCATAGGTTAATCACAAATAACAAATTAATGTTAAGTTATCGTGTAGCTCAAAACACATCTTACATCATAGACTAATGCAATTTTGTTGTTCCTTTCCTTTTTTCGTCAGTCCTTCTGTCCCATTTTACGATAACAAAATTTGGAAACACGATTATATTGAGAAGCAAAATATGTTATTAAAATACGATCATTGTCATCTAAATTGACAAATGACCTGTATTAAAAAACTCAAATGTTATATTACAACATTTTAGATTCGAAAAATCTGGTACAGATCAATTTCTGGATGACGCAATGGCTAAAACGAAATGATCGTGAATTTTATCTTTAGATGGATTCAATTAACTCTATCCTTAAACAGTTGGTAACACAACTCCGGGTCATGTTTACTTTGTTGTAAGGAGTGAGATCATATATAGACGATATACAGCGCGACTTTGTTGACAGATTACATAATGATTGTTCTAAATCTCCACGGAAAATGGGACCTAGTACATAGAGATATTGATACATATCTTAAAAAGGACTTTCCCTTTAATGTAACACAAGTTTCAGATAGATTTACGTGTTTCAAAACACTTTGTAAATATATTTATTTCCTATTGTTTGAAGGAAAAATCAAAGCCCTAGGATTCCGGAAATTGCAAGGAGGGACCAAATACTACAACGTGATTGGAGTTGCCCGAAATCAGTCGAGTGCTGTTGATACGTGTATTCGGTTCTCTGCGCAACTGTTCCCCTTAGAAACGGCTTCGGAGGTTACAACTCTACAAAATGTCATTACAGGAAATGATATTATGAGTAAGTATTTGCAAGTTAGCAATGTTACTTCCCTTGACTCATTTCTTATTATTTTAGCTCTGGATAAATGCTTCGAAAGGCCACTTGTAAAAATTTAATCTTTGTTTCAATACCTCTACTGTTCTATGACGCTATTAAAAAACTGAATGATCAGTAACAATGACGTTGCGTGAAATCATATTCATTCGTCAAAGGAATTCGATTGTTTCAGATATTCAGGCTGCTGACAACAACCAGAATGGTTTCTACAAGGGTGTTCAGGCTAGATTATCTTAATACATGATACAGAAGGGTTCATCCGAAATCGATATAGTACTGCCACATTTTGTCAAATAAAACTTGCAATCAAGTACAATTAATAAAATGCAAGTCCGCTTAAGTGTATTAAGGCTATATCGTTCCTATCCCATGAATTCTTAACGTTCAATTTAGTTTATTTGGGCTTAGCGTCCTTTTAAAAGCATAGGTCATTTTTAAAGGAACTCCATGATATATATGCGTGTGGAAGAAAGCGGTAGTTGGTGTATTTGCCTCTTTTTGATAGTGTTGATCTCACGCTGACTCTGCAGAGACTTCACATGAGATTTACATGAGGGCTGGTTTGTTAAACTCTTTGCAACAGCCAAGGACATCTGTCAAAAAGCATTATTTACCATGTGGGAAACATACAATTATTTTGATATAATAAACTGTCAGGACAGCGTTCAAATCACACCCTGTGTCAGCCTTCGGCCAATCGTAGCCGACATTGAAATAACCATTTGGACTGATATAGACGTTGATGTTTTAGGTTTGATTTAAAACAATCTACTTCATTTAATTGAATAACAAATTGCGAAACAAATTTTATCGTCCCATATTAATCACTCTTGTTAGTACAGATTGTAGCGCGCAGGGGAATCAAACCTAGCCACCTTGGTCAGAGGCGAGTGTGCTATTAACTGTGTCCCCCGACCATCCTGTAGGTTTAGGTATAGGCCCAACCATCCTGTAGGTTTAGGCCCGACCATCCTGTCGGTTTAGGTATAGGTCCGACCATCCTGTAGGTTTAGGTATAGGTCCGATCATCCTGTAGGTTTAGGCCCGACCATCCTGTCGGTTTAGGTATAGGTCCGACCATCCTGTAGGTTTAGGTATAGGCCCGATCATCCTGTAGGTTTAAATATAGGTTTTATAAGGTTTAGCATTATGTCAACAGCAAAGATCTTTGTTTGACGTGTGTCCATGTGTGCTATGTAAGCGTATGTGCTGGAGGTGATATGTTAGCGTTTGCGTCCTTCATATTGATATTGTCTGTGAAAGACAAATGTCCGATTGTCTGTGTTGCAAGGTAAGTGCTCGTTTTATGTCTCTGTCACAATTTGATCATGTCATTCTTAAACAGTTTTTAAAAAAATTGCAGGACGCAACTTTCGGTTATACGTATCTGGAGAATACGTATCCAATCAATGGCAGTATAATGGAGTCCCTAAAGTAATAGACGGTGACCTCTGGTCTACAAATCATCCTAACCCCAGTCAAGGGCACTGTGTGATGTTGACAGAAACCGGTCTGGCCAGTGTTGATTGCACGGAAATACTCTTCTTCATATGTGTTATCTGATTACCTGATTACCCATCATAACTTTTCTGCAGTGTCCATGTACGTACATGCAGTGAGATACCACATGGCATTTTGTTTCCCGGAACATTGATGTCTTTGCATGCGATCCTCGATTGTATAATGGTCTGTGATTATGAAATGTGGGTATCCTTGTTGGTTATTAGTGACGTGAAAACGAATTCCACATACAAATAGAAGATAAGTTATACATTTGTACATTTAAATTCCTTATCCCTATCATACCATATATATTTCAGAAATGTGTTGGGATACTAATAAATTGCAACCATTAGCCTTCTGCTGTTTCGTATTTGTATTGTTTCACAGCCCATCGACAATGCGAGTCACTTAAGGCCAAACAACACGTTAACATAGGCAATCACCGAAATTAAAACATCAAGCCAGAAATTAAAAGGTTTAAAAGGAGTAAAAATATATCAACATGGAACGAATTGGCTGTAAATCGTATCATATCTTATTATAAAGATCAACTGAATGTAAATAATCACACATTGATTGAACAGAAACGGTATCAAACGGTTCATACACGATACATTGTAAAATCTGTCACGTTTTTGTTTGAATTCAGTGCATTCGATCATAAAATGTAAGTGATTAATCACATGCATGATAATAGGGTTAATCTTCTTTATGTAAAATGTAACTGTGTGATGTAGGTATGGCCTATTCGCAGTCGCGAGAGGACAACCTTCTCTCTACGACCCGCTCCACCTGCCGCACATAAACCTACGTTAATTTGCGAATAATTTTGTTGTTCACTTTCAAACCATTTATTTTGTCAATTCGTTCTTATAAAAATAGCGATTAAAGGTTTAAAATCATCAAAACGTGTTTTGATATATATTGGATAGTGGATGTTCTACCAAAATATAAAGGAAATATGTTGGTAATGATGGAAAAACAAGGACAGGAATACCTTTCTTCAGAGACAGCATTTTTTGCAACCGCAGAAGTATGCTTGTCATCAGAGAACAACATAAATTATTGTATGAGATCTAATTCCTTGCAGGTACCATTAATTAGCTATACCTGAATGACAGTTAATATTTTTCGAGTGTTAGCTACATCACCCAACATATCAGCAATCTTCATATAAATCATGTCAGTACAAATGATTATAATAAGAATTTAAAGGAACATCATCACGGTGATTTTTTTTTTTTTTTACCTTTTTTGAAATACTGCATTAATATATCAAACGAGTCTCCTAACGGAAAAAACCGGTCGGATTTTGCTGATGCATTTTCATAAAAATGTGTAATTACTTATAGAAGAGGAGATTCCTTATCCTGTCTGGTCAGACAGTTTGTTCTGCAGTTGTTAGCGTGTTGTGCGCATGCGTTTTTAAACAACATGACTTGCCGTGGGAAGTGTCAGCGAGTGAGAACCGTTACCGCGTCAGCGAAAAGTTGCTTAATGTTCAAACGACAGCGCGAAGATAACGTTGCGGAAGCGAATATTCTCCTTTTAATACTTCCAACCTTCAATAATGTAGGTGGGACCGTGGGAAGTATCCAAAGGAGAACATTATTATCATGATCAATGCTTAACGGCCCATCAACACAGGATAGACCATAAGGGCCAATCAATGGTCGACAAAAACAAATGCTGAATCAAATGTTAAAGGTGTGAAAAAGGAGAAAGAACAAAGAGGAAGAAAAGAAAAGAAAAGAAAAAGGAACAAGGTTACCGCGAGCGGTATATAATACGCCCGTCACACATTGAATGAGCAGTTGTTTGTATGATTGAAATATATGAAGTATTTGTGAGTAATTGATATTAAAAGAGAAATCATTCAACATAACTGGTAGATCAATGAGTGCAATACAACATCATGGAACGCATGCATCGCATTAATTAAACCAAGGGTAATAACTCCAGTAATTACGGTCGGATAATGGCGGTTATCAAACTTGTCCGTGGTTTCATGGTAATTAACCTTGTTGTGAAGTTTGAAGTTAATCCGTTAATAATTACTCGAGATATCGAGCGGACACTGTTTCGGCAAGTAAAGGGGCATAACTCCAGAAATTATCATAGGATCATGGCGGTTATCGAACTTGCCGAGGTTTCATTGTAATTAACCTTGTTGTGAAGTTTGAAGTTAATCCGTTAATAATTACTCGAGATATCGAGCGGACATCGTTTGCCCGCCCGCCCGCCCGCCCGCTCACGTGATAACATAATACGTCCCCGTCTTCGACGGGCGTATAAAAAGGACAGAAACAATATCTACACTGTATAAATTGGACTCTGAGGAATTACCACGGCCAGACCATTCCAGAGTTTGGTTTGTTTTAGTATTGTTTAACGCCCTATCAACAGCTATGGTCATTTAAGGACGGCCTCCACTGTGTGCAAGATGCACGCGTGTAGTGTATGCGTGTGTGTGTTTTGGGAGGCTGCAATATGTTCGTGTTTGTCTCCTTGTGATAGCGCTGAACTGATGCCGACTTTATAGTGCTACCTCACTGAAACATGCTGCCGAAGACACCCATTAGGACTCCCCACGCGGTCACAGTATACTGACAACGGGCGTACCAACCGTCCTACTCCTAAATTGCTGAGCGTTAATCAGGAGTAGAAACTACCATTTTTACAGACTCTGGTATGTCTCGGCCAGGTGACAGAACCCAAAGCTTTCCTCACAGGGGCGAGCGCTCAACTAAAGGCCAAAAGTGTGGCATTGTCAAGGGAGCCATTAGGAAATAAACAGTTGTTTAGAAAGAAGAGAAAAGGTTTGTTGTCAGTTCGCCTCCTTGTGATAGCGCAGATCTAATGCCAACTTTACAGTGCTTACAAAAATTCCTACTGCATTATGTATCGTAAGAGGCGACTTATGAGGGGAGCCCTCCCGGCAGAATTTGTGAGTGCATGCGTGCCCTCTACTTTGAGACACGAAAGCAACTTAAATAAATCTGTGGCACACATTTTGGCTCTTCATATTTCTCTCTACTTCTATAAATAAACCTACATATACATTTTAATCCCCCCCCCCCCCACCACCACACACACACACACACCTACACACTCGCGCGCAAGCACAGCATAGCATACACGGTGGGACGTCCTTGGCTGTTGATATTACGTGTACCATTATGTGACAGCAGGAATGTATTATTTTCTAACATCAAGACCTGTAGAGATGACATGGGAGGAACAACATCGTCAGCGGATTGCTAGGAATGTAATATCGTGACGTAAGGACTTCATGACAAGATGCTATTGACAAGAACAAACTTTGGGAACACGTTTTAAAGTATATTAACATTATATTTAGCCCAAGGTCTTTAATTATTTATTACTCACTGATGTTTGAGAAAGCTGTTTATGTGAAAATCAATTATTTTCTTAACAGATCTCGCACTTTTACTCTATAATAATCAATCAAATACATTGTATTTTGTACCCAAACGTTTAAATGATCACATTATAAACAAATACTGAAGAAATGGTTTAATTTGCATTCATTATGTTTGACGTCCTATTAACATCTTAGGTCATTTTGAAGACGTGCTTCTATTTGTTTAAATAACTCTGCTGAACACATAGCACCATAGGGGATATGTTTGTCATGAGAGCGTATAGTCCTCGTTTTGTCCGCTTGTGTGACTGTCTGATTCTGATGTTAATTTTGGAACAATTATTCCAATCAAATCAATGTAAACCAATTTTGTTGTTTTCTTCTGTCTTTTGCAAAGGGGACAAAATCTGCTACCGCATTACTATATTTGGGATATATATCCTTTCCTTTCTGTCTCTCTTTTCGGTGGTGTCTCTCTACGCACCCATCTTCATTTGACCTTAGCTTTCGCGGGGACATTATACCCCAAAAAAACAAACAAAAAACAGGAACGTAGGGAGGCTCTTTGATTACACACCAGTTGCCAATGCTGAATGCGATGAAGACCACATGTAATAACCAAGGACTGTGATTGTGTCTACATCAGCGGGACTTCATACCCGGGCATGATATGGCTCAATATTACAAACGGTAATCACCAAAGTCGAAAAATTGTTGTCATACTGCCCCGACTCTATCTTGATTCGTACTGGTGTATGTACGAATTTAACATGGCCCGAATGGAGAGCATCTATTCCAGGGGAGGCGACTCTGTCCTGGTGCCGGTGTCCTATGACGGTATTCCGTCCAAGAAGTTCCCATAGACATTGATTGACCTGGTCCCCATGACGACGTCCATGGTTAAGTGGTGTTCTGGGGAAACTAGCTACATCAATATCGGTATACTCGACAACTACAGTGTAGATACGCATTGTTACATTCGACTGTAGTTCATGTACTTTCAACAATATTCGTCATGGGGTATAAACACATTTGAACATTTATTGTACAAGGATGGGGTTACCAGCCCATGCAAAACTCCTATAAAATATCCATGGAATAGTTCGTCAGTTACGTTTATACTCTAATATATTTATATAGCCAAAGCTATTAATGGTCAACATAAAAGCAATAAATGTTGTCTCATTGAAATCTTTCTCTGTAAGATAGTTACTTTTAATTTAGTCTTGTAAGCGTCACAGAATTCTGTACAAAAGTGCCAATTTGGTAACAATAGTTATTTGATGTTATCAGTCAAAATAATATTACATATTTTGCGGGAAGAACACTTGTTATTTCAACTTTCTGTTTTAACGTACTAAACAAAGAACGATAAGAAAAGGGGGGAAAACAAGTAGTGCATTTGTCAATAAAAATAACGTCAACAAAGGGTTTTAAAGCTTTTTCAAGGGATTAAAGGATCTTGGTGTTAATGCCGCTGAAAACTGCAGCATGATTAAAGAGTTCATAAAAGGCCCTTTGAAAACACGTCATGCGTGAGTTTTATGAACAAATAATAAAGTGAGAACAGCAACAGCATTAAAGAGGTCCATGGGCCTTAACGGTCACCCGAGTTCTGATATATTTATACAGAGTTGATTTTTGTTTTTAAAACATGAACAGAAGTATTATTCAAAGTGACAGAAAACAATAAAACAACCTTATTCGATATCTAGCATACAGATTTAAGACTGAAAAGTATTTGAAATTAGCACCTCTGATTCTAAACAAGGAAAATAAACTCCTTTGGGCGCCCTTGGGGGTAGAGCTGGCTCAAAATGTTAAAAGTATCAAACTGTCAACTCAGGGTTATAATTCCAATCAAGTTATCAACATGTAATATTCATAATATCATTTGCCATAATACATTTTGCCTCCCTTTATGAACGCTCAACATTAAAGCCCGAAGTG